TTGGCAAAGAATGATCTAATGATCTAGGCATCCCTCCAAAAACCAATCAAAGCACAGAGTAGGACTCTTGAAAAAACAGGGGTAGATATTCTAAGTTGAATTCTCACCTTCTTCTACATTAAATTGGAATATAAGATGGTTGTTTGTTGGGTTCCACATCCAAGAAATGTAACATAGCTAGCATGTATGTAGACTGTGAAAAATCAGATTTGTTTCTCTTACAGACTATCCAAACCTAAATCACTTAATGAGCACCTCTACTTTTACAGACCAAAGACTACATCTGTGTATTATATAAAATAATTAACTTTTTCCCAAATAATCCATACTTCAGCATTCCAACGGTCACTAAATCAGATTAGAGCACTATCCCACCATGCCCACAAATCAAAGACTGTGTAGATAGAATGTGTTGTGTGCTAGAAGAACCTGGATTCAAACTCAGGTGTATGCAGAGGCAGCTTTTAAAGACTCCTCCCCAAATTTCTGCTAAAAATCTCTTCCAGTTTGGGAGATTGGATACTGAGCTAGATGAACCACAACTACTTAAGTCAGTGATGGCGAACCTTTTAGACACCAAGTGCCCAAACTGCAACCCAAAACCCACTTATGCATCATCGGGTACCGGGTGGGTGTGGCCCATTTACTGGGCGTGGCCCATTGGCTGGGCATGGCTGCGGTGGTAATGGCAGACTGGGTGGGACTAAAAAGTTCAATCAATCAATTCCAACTTTGCAAGATATTTTTTCCCGCGAGAAGTTGAAATTGACTGATTGATTGAACTTTTTTTTTTTTTGCACACTGCGGCGGAGGCCTAAAGCGAAAAGGTTTTATAAAACCCAGCTGAAGGCCTAGGACTGGGGCAACAGTGCGCGTGCCCCCAGAGAGGGCTCTGAGTGCCACCTCTGGCACCCGTGCCATAGGTTTGCCACCACTGACTTAAGTGATCCCAATGTCAACTATTAACACCCCAGCAAAAGGCAAAATTCTTCTCTGAGGTTCTCAGAGAATCCAGGGGCGGCAGGGAGAAAATACTCCACCTTCAATGGTTTCAGACGGATTTGATCTTCATTACTTGCCGCTAAGTAATCGGGAATAACATATATACTGTATTCATCAGAGTTACTAAAACCAGGCAGCAACTACGTTTAGCTTAGATATATTTGGCATTTGGAGAAACCAGGTTGAGGAAAGCAAACCCAAATCATCCGGAGTTTATGCTTATCCAACGCGCCCTCCACCAGACCTCTACGATAACCTTCCCCAACTTGGGACTCTCCATATATGCTAGACTTCAACTCCCAGCCTCAGGGACGAGCCTACTTTGACCAAAATTCCCGGAAGACACCGGTCGAGGAAGGCTGTCGTATAGCTGCCCCTTCCTCGGCTCCACCGGCTGGAGTTTTCTTCGAGAGCCCCCCCCCTCCCTCTTTAGGGTCATTTTTTAATGTCCGGTTTTTGACAGAATCCGCCGTCGTCCCTCTAAAATCATTCCCGTTCCCGCTGCCCCTCGCGGTGCCCCCTCCCCCGGGGGAGGGTCGAAGCCTACTCAGGGGGCTGGCAGGACGGAGCCTCCTGTGCCCCCTCCCCGAAAGGCGCAGAGTGGCCCTGAACAACATTGCCCGTCCGTTCTGGAAGAAGCCAGCCGGCTTCTTAAGCAACAAGCAGAGAAGGAGAAGGGAAGGAGAGTCACCTTGACCGCCATGCTGCGCTCGGGAAAGCGGATGGAGAAGGAGGGAGGAGGAGGAGGAGCCTCTCGACGGCGCTGTCAAGCTGCGGAGCGCGCCGCCGCTGTCGCCGCCCGCCTACCCCAGCCGACCCTCTGCGAAGGAGGCCCCTCCGCTAAGTTTGGGCTCCGAGCTTGTCCCGGGCTGACCCCGGCCGCGGCACTCCGTGGCCGGAACGGGCTTGGTTCTAGAATCCCGGCGTCCTGGACGCTCCCGCGTTCTCACGAGCCGGCTTTGCCTTGTGGCCGGCGGGGAGCGAAAAGCCAACGTCCTCTGCGCTACGTTTGCTCCGCGTTCCCAAAACGCAGAAGCCCGCCGAGGCTAGCAAGTCGCTTAGCCTCCCGTAGTGCCACCTGGGCCCGGAGAGTAAGTTGTAAGTCCGATTGCGTGGGAATGCAGTTGGCACGCCGAGCCTTCATGACCAGTGGCGGTTTGTTCCTCTTGCATTCTGGCTTCCCCCGAACTTCGTGGCTGATAGAGAAATCAGCTTCGCTTGAAGGAATGTGGCTTTCATCGAAGGGGACGCTCTAGTAAAACCGCATGGCCGTGGATGAAAATACAGTTGCCAGGGTTATTGATCGTCGGGGCTCTTACGTTTAAAATGCTCATTTCAGGAAAACAACCTAGTGAAATTATTGTACCAGGTTTAAATAGGTCGTATTCAAAGGCAGAACTACTACACACAGAAGGTTAAAGATCAGTTCAGAAAAGCAAAAGTGGGATGGTCCTTCTCCTGTTCATAAAATTAAAATTTACCTCTGTTGAAAAATGCATCATTTTTTATTTTTAATATGGTAAAAATAAAGCTCTTTGGAGGTCCTCCGTAACTTTTGAAAGTGCAGAGGGTCCAGAGAGAAAAAAATTAAGAAACATTGAGCTAGCTAGAATATCAGCCAGGAGCTTATCCCCTATCTGAGATCTAGCAAATCTTTGCAGAGGCTTAGATATTTCATATTAAGACCAGTAATTAAAATATTCCATTTCCATTGCTTGAGAGCGATTCCAACTGATAAGTCATAGATGCTTTTTCCACCTGCATCTAAAAATGTACAAATATTCCCTGCTTCCAACATCTTTACTCTCTCATGTTCCAATGACAACAACAACAACAATAGAGTTGGGAAGGGCTTTGGAGGTCATCTAGTCCAACCCCCTGCTCAGGCAGGAAACCCTTTACCATTTCAAACAAATGGCTGTCCAGTCTCTTCTTTAAAACTTCCAGTGTTGGAGCATTCACCACTTATGGATGCAGGTTGCTCCATTAGTTAATTGTTCTGTCAGGAAGTTTCCCCCAGTGGCTGTTGGCTACCTCAGGCAGATGCAGCACACCTCTTCCCCTCTCATCCTCAGGTGCTTTCTTCCAATGTTGTTCCATTTTTCTCCTCCATTTGCAAAGAAGTGCAGAGGTGCTAAGTTTTGAATGAGTCATGCTCTCTTGAAAACAAGTGACAATGGTTTCATGAAAGCTTCAACTTCTGCAAACATGCTGAGCAGCTGTTTGGTGGGCTTCCCATGCGCACAGCATCCTGGTGAATCTGCTGGATAGTTCAGTTGACTTGCTGATGAGCACAGTTTTGAAAGAACTGCCCTTTCATGCCGTTGAAAGGTATGGCGAGGCTGTGAATTAGAATCTAGCTAGCCTGCTTTGCCATCTAAGGCTTCTCATCAGTTCTGCAAACCCTCTGGAGAGCTGTTCAGTGGGCTTGTTGGGGCTCTCACACATCAAAAGTAATAATTTGATAGTTATTACCAAAATAAGGAAAAGATAGGAGCAGCATCTCTAGCCCAAAGAAGAATCATTTCCAGCATGGAAAAGTGGGAGAAAGACACCCAGGAAACTTGAACATTGTTACACAGCAATGCCTATTTTTTTTTATCATTTCTGTAGCTTCATGGGTTTGCTACAGTAAATCTGTCTTGAGCCTTTGTGTCCTGAGAAATATATTGTTACCACATTTTACTTTGTTAATTGAACCAAGTACAGTAATCCAGCAACCTTTTTACTCTCTCTTCACAGGATGCAAACTTGGGAGTTTTCTTGATGCAGACCATAGCAACTGACTTTGTTGTCATGAAATTGACTGCTTCAGCACTGAAACTAGGTTTATTTATTTTAGAAAATTTATATACTGTAGCCACCTACTCGCTCATGACGACTCTAGGCAGATTACAAACAGTAAAAACACACAAACACACACACACAAAACAATTAACACCACACCCCACCCTCAGCAACAGCACATAATTAAATAAGCCATTTGATGGGCTTTGTTGCACTCTGGGTTTCCCAGGCCCGCTGCAAAACCAGGCCTTCAGGGCCTTCTGAAAGACTGTCAAAATGGGCGCCAGTCTAATTTCTGTGGGGATGAGGTTCCAAAGGGAAACAGCCCCATGGAGAAGGCCCTTCTTCTGGGTCCCGCTAGATGTACCTCCTTAGGGGATGGGACACTCAACATTTCATGCCTCCCCGCTCTAGTGGGTCGGGTGGATGTGACCAGCTAGAGACGGTCCCTCAGATGCAAGAGCAAGCCTCAGATCTGGTTTGTAAAAGTCTAAAAGACTAATATATGGAAGCAAAGATAATACAGGAAATTCCAATGTACTAGTTAGTCTAATCATTATATGGGCTTTTGAGCAACCCTTAGGCTGTTGCCCCAAATGACCATATGATGCAAATAATGAACCAACCAGCACACCAAATAGGACAGATTCACCAATTGCCAGGTTTTGCATAACTTCCTGTAGCTATGTTGCTTTGATCTTAGGATTTCTTGCCAGACATAACTTATGATGTTCCAAAGGCTATCACATAAGGCCTTTAACCCTTTATGAGAAATATTCCCCAGAATATCAGTTTTCTGAATTTTATTACTAACATGTATTATTGTACTTGTAACTTTAATGAAAAAGATTTCAGCCATGGATCCACTACAAACTACTGTAGCTGATTGGTTGTGAAATAGGGAGTGGGGCTTGAGATAGCAAGCACCTTTAGTTTGGCCAGCCAACTGTTGATCAAGATGGGTTGGTGAGGATCAGACAGCAAGCAGGTTCTGGTCACTTGAGTGATGCAAACATGAAAAAACTACAAAATATTGGGAAAGTTCTGATGGAGAAGCACTCATTTGTGGCCCACAAATGAGAATCACTAAGCTAAAACTATCAGATCTGGATGGCAAAAGTCTAAAAGACTAATATATGGGAACAAAGATCATACAGGACATTCCAACATACTAGTTAGTCTAGTCATTATATGGGTTTTTGTGGCCCAAACCTTGTTGCCTTAATTTAACTCAGTCTTAGAAAAAGTCCCATTTTTATATAAATTTCTTAGGATCTCTGGTTACAAATGCCCTGGCTTCTAAAACAGCATACATCTGTCAAGTGCTCATATCTCCTTCGTTATCGAAGCTCATTAATTCTGCTAGATCATTGGAAAGTAAGTAGGTGATGAATGGAAAGTTCTGAACTGTACAAAAAACAAGATCAACCATAGTTTGCGGCTTTCAATCTTCAATCCTAAGGATTGGACTGGGAGAAGACTTTTACAATTTTAAAACAACCTTATATAATTTTAAATAAATACATATTTTCAATCAATGTTTTCAATCAATTCAATGTTATATAGAGAAAGCATATTAAAAGTTGAAGCAAGAAATCAATAATTTGAGAATATTTAGCATTTTTGAAAGTGAGATTTGATATGTTACCAAATCAAAATCTACAAGGCAGATTGAAAACTATTCCATATTTTTTTAAAAAAAAATCTGTATCCCTGTGAAGCAGGAGCAATTTAAAAATGGTATCTGTGTACTTTTGTACTGTAATTTGTATATAGTTTTAAATACTATGTATCAGTTCAGATAGCAATTATTTCTACTTGTTCTTTATCTTTCATCAGATAAAGATGAGCACAACATGATGAAAGTTGGTGTTATATTCCATAATGTCAAAGAGAACAATGACTAAAGCTGTTATAGTGTACATTAGTAGATTATACATTTATTTTTTAAAATAAGTGTTTATTAATGAGTGGTGAGGAGCTGTTTTTAGTTTGTTAAGATGGCTAGCTTTTGATTGTAATAGTTGACTTGAACTATACATATCCATGGGTATAACAGGAATTATTTTCAGAACTTAATAGGCAGAATAATGGTGCAGACAAGACTATGAGCCCTTATGGTGCAGTGGTTAGAACGCAGTATTTCAGGCTAACTCTGTCCACTGCCAGGAGTTCGATCCCGACTGGCTCAAGATTAACTCAGCATTCCATCTTTCTGAGGTTGGTAAAATGAGGAATCAAATTGTTGGAGGCAATGTGTTGATGTTGTAAACCACTCTGAGAGTGGTATAAAGCACTATGGAACAGTATGTAAGTCTAAGTGCTATTGTTGATGCTAAGTGCTATTGTTTGGGATGAGGTCTCAAACCATTGAGGGATGAAATTACTCTCTGGGGAAGAACTACAGATGTTTGCTTCAATCCTCCAAATTTCATCATGGATCTGAGAAGAAAAAAAAAAAACCTTTTTGAAGTCTGGAGAGATTCTGATGATTAGCATTCAACCTTTTCAAACCTATGGCACTTAATCCATGTCCACTCAATAAACAGTCCTCTTTTATAGCCATTAATTAAATCATGAAAGTTGTATAAAAGAAATCATGTATTCCATATTATGATGATCAGGCTAACTATTTCTTTTTCTGTGATTACTGTAATTATTAGACTGTAATTATTAGACTCAATACACTCTAAAGAATTTCTGTGGTTCATAAAAGCACATCATCCCTTTATTTTGCATATCCCTTTACTTTGTCTAAGACACTAGATTAGGCCTCCAGTCCTGACTCTCTACAGCAATTCAGCCAGCAGATTTTGGCTATTGCAATATGGATAGTTTTGAATATATTGGGAGGAATAGTATCAAAATAGCATGTATATTATTTTTAAAAATATTGAACTTAAACATATTCTGAATTCTGCTCTATGTATATTTAAAACCTCAAGTCAAAATTGTAGTCACGTTTAAATAAACATTTATACAGTAATGAAATTTAAATACAGAATTAGCATAATGTTATACCTTCAACTGCATTTCCCAATTTACTTCCCATTATTGTTCACTTGTATCTTTTCCATTAAAGAGCTATGCATTCCATATTCATAAATTTGTTACTGAAATATTCACATCATTATATCTCCATTCGTTATTTCTTCTTGAATTCTGTTACTTGTGATTGGCATATTATCCTAAAACATCAGATGTCTTTATTTCACTGGATTGGAAATTTAGTATGAAGATGAAGTTTAAGTCATTTCAACTGTTTAACATGCACTTTAAACACTAATTTATCAAAATGATCCCATCCCTGTGATACATTTGTTCAAGAGCCAAAATAACTGAACTGGAGCAAGTATAGTAATTGTAGAATCTGACTGGTTTCCTTAAGTATGTTGCCATTGTATATAAAGTGATGTGAAGAACTGGAGATGTCTGACCTTTAAGTTATAGATAGTCCTTGACTTACAACAATTCATTTAGTGACTGTTGAAAGTTACAACAGCAATGAAAAAAGTGGCTTATGACTGTTTTTCGCACTTACAGCTATTGTAGCATTCCCATAGTCATGTGCTCAACTGACTATGGCAGTGGTTCTCAACCTTTCTAATGCCATGACCCCATAATACAGTTCCCCATGTTGTGGTGACCCCCAAGTGGGTGTGGCCACCAATAAGAGGGAGTAGGACAGCAAGGGAAAAGGGAAAAAAATGGCGGACAGCGTGGTTTGGCGACCCCCGTGAAATGGTCATTCGACCCCAAATGGGGTCCCGACCCACAGGTTGAGAACCACTGGACTATGGGGATGTTACAAATGGCTTATGGCAGTGTCCTGGGCTCATACGATCCCCTTTTGAGACATTCTGACAAGCAAAGTCAATGGGGAAGCCAGAGTCACTTAACAATCGTGTTACTAACTTAATCACTGCAGTGGTTCACTTAATAGTTATGGCAAGGAAGGTCATAAAATGGGGCAAAACTCACTTAACATCTGTCTTGCCTAGGAACTGAAATATTGGGCTCAATTGTGTTAAGTCGAGGACTATCTGTATAAAAGCCTTGTGCTGAGACAAGGTATCCTTACGTTACAGAATAGCTTGTAATGAGTGGAGAGTTTTCATACCTCAATTAAGCTATATATAAACAGGGATGATTGTGTTTGCATGACATTATTAGGCTAAACCAGTGCTTCTCAAATAGTGGGGCGCGCCCCCCAGGGGGGGCGCGAGGCTCCGTAAAGGGGGGCTCGTTTGACCTCAGCAAATACTGTCATATTGGATTTCTAGATCGGATCATCCAACTCACTCGCAAGCGGCAGCCCAACGTGGAGGACAACATGACTGCCAACGCACGTGACACATGCAAAGGACCCGATTGGATAGACATGATGCTCTATCCTGATTGGCCAAACCCACCCGTGTGACTTTTAGACCCGGAAATCGGTCCTCTGTACAGAAAAAATTTTTTTACAGTTGCGCGGGGGGTGCGAAATGTTTTCTTCTTCCTAGGGGGGCATGACAGAAAATAATTGAGAAGCACTGGGCTAAACTAACAAAAATGGATCATGGGGATCGTGCCAATGGCTGATTCTACCACTTACATGGTAAGTGAGGGGACAGATTAAAACTGCACATGCCTGTTTTATACCCTCTGAATACCCTGTTGTTTTACAACCTTAACATAACTTTTTATTCATCCACTACCAGCCAACTACCACTATTAAAGTCAGAAGTAATCCAACTTTTGTGGAGAAGTAATCTCCACAGAAACCAGGCACCATGGCTTGGCCCTTTCCATATTCTGTCCTTTTGTGTGTGCGAGAAAGGAGATTTATTTATTCTCAAAAGCAAAGAGGTTTTGGGGGGGGGTAGGCTACAGAGAAAATGGGGCACAGAACCTTGGTTTGGGCTTGGGGGGGCATGCTTTGTGTACATGCTGGTTCTAATGTGTGTCAAAGGGTAATTGTCCTTCCTGTGCAGATTGAGGTACTCCTACCCAGGGCTTTTGATCCTGAGGTGCATGTTAGGGTGTTGCCCTGAGGATGTGTGTTGTCCAGAAAGGAAGATCACCCTCAGATATGTAGATTCCTTGTGTGGAATTCTATTAAACTGATGTACTGGAATTACTTGAGCGACATCCCATACTCCATTTTATTTATTACACTTATATACCATTCATCTCACCCAGAGGTGACTTTCAACAAGATAATACATTAAATACTAACATAATAAATATTAACGTGAAAATTGACTTACAATTAGCAAGGATGGCAAGGAAGGGAGCAAGATGCAAATGGGAGGGAGATGGAATCTTATCTCAGTCAATTAACCTCCTTCAGAATGGCATGCCCCCATTGGAGCCAAAGGCCAATTGTCAGGTTTTCAAGCCCTTTCAGAAGGCCAAAAGGATGGAAGAAAAAGTTGTTCTTCTGGATCCCAGCAGCAGGAATTCCTTGACCAGCAGGGTATGCAGTATGTCCCTTCTGCTGGCATGGATGATTGGGCCAGTCCTCCTAGAACAAGGAGAATACACTGAAAGTAAGATCTCTACGAGATCCCATTTTCAAACAATGGACTTTCAGCAATAAAAAAAAAGATTTCTTAGTCTCACTTGAGAAAAGATTTATTTATTCAGAAGCTTTGTTTGGCCCGGACTTTCTCTGCTTTTAGAAAATCTATAGAAATGCATTTCTTTATACATTGAACATTTTGGCTGTACATTGAATTGAAATAAGTCAAATACTGAGCCCATTGCCAGAAGATCCAAAAGGATATAAAGAAAAATCCCTTAGACTTTACTTGTCCAGAAATTGTTAAATACATAGAGACAATCAATATATAGAGACAATCATCCTTATCAAAATATCTTGTTGAGTGATTTAAGAATCTTTCCATTTGTATTACCCAGATGAAAGAGAATACTAAGATAGTGATGAAAATGCCCTTAGGTTTGTGGGGAAGAATCAGTGTGGTGAGAATGAAGAGCGCATTAAAACTCATACATATTTGGAGAGCAATACCTGTGATGGTTCCACTTCCATCTTCTACCTTGTTCCATCCAGGTTCAAGACCGATCACAAGAATTAGAACAAGGGTAAGCTTCACAAAAACTCATGCAACATTAAATCAGGGAGGTGAAATTTAATTCTTGCCTTGATTTTTACATTCTCTATGCTCCCAGCTCAGAGAACATACAAACTGATTCCCTATCATGCAGAGCCTGTATAATTTTGTCTTGCGGGGAGGGGGGGGGAATGTCTATTTAAGATGCAGTCTAAAAAAACAAAAATAGTCTTTTGAAGCAATTTGGTGTATTATAAAAATAATATTTACAAACTATGCATCAGAAGACTTGTGTTATTTCCCACTCTAGTTAGCCTCTTTCACTTTTCAGTTCTGCTTGTTTGCCACCTCAGCCCTGGCAATAGATTCCAATGAGTTAATTCTTTGCCACTGGCCATGCAGAGAGTAATTTAGCATTTTCTGTTTATGTCTGCTATGCTCTTAGCTCAAGATGAGATTTGGGTGGTTTGTCCCTTTCTACCAGAATTCCTTGCTACTGGCTATTGCAAATAGTCTGCTCTCCTATTATATCTACCAACCCTTGCATATTCCCTTCCTTCACCAAGAGTAAGTCCAGAGGAGATTATCTAAGGCCATTTTTTACTTCTCGCTTTCTACCACTCTTTATGACCAATAGCTGTTGGTAGTTCTGGCTGTTTTCAGTGGCTGCCTGATTTTGTGGCTGTTCCTGCACAGGATCAGCAGTTGGTTCTTGTTTATTGCTGTTCTCTTCCTGTCTCAGCTTTTTGGATACCAAATCAAGTTGAAGTCTTCTCCCAACCTCTCCCCACAAGTAATTCCTAGAGCTGGTCCATGAAGTTTTAACCAGTCTCGGCTTTGGTCGGCTTCAGCTCTTTAGCACTGCTTCAGCCTAAACGATCCATCATGTGTCTTAGCTGCTGCCTCAATGCTCAGCTGTAGAATTTTCTATAGGAATGAGATTTGTCCATCTCTGAACTCTACAACATAAACCTATGCCAGGGGTAGGCAACCTTGGCTCTTTTATGACTCGTGGACTTCAACGCCCAGAATTCCTGAGCAGGCCATGTTGAGGGGAAAGGGAGAGTTTTCCAAGCTGAGCCATGCTGGCTCAGGAATTCTGGGAGTTGAAGTCCACGAGTCATAAAAGAGCCAAGGTTGCCTATCCCTGACCTATGCATATCTTCCTGTGGATCTGTAACTCCCTGGAATTTTCTTTTTCAAACCATTCTTCAAATCTTTATACACCAATACTATGCCATCATTTCAGCTCTTCCCTGACTATAAGAGAGTCAGCCTTTAAAAACTCTCATATATGCTGGCCTGTGTGCAACCCGAGACCACGTGCTTTGTGCAGAACTGCCCAGGTATTTCCAGTTAGAAACGTTGACATAAATTTAGTCCTTATGAAATGCCCGCAGCCATGATTGTGCAACTACAGTATTTTTCCACTTCTCATCCTATATTAACCTCAACTATTGACACTTTGGGGGCAGGGAAGCACTTTTTTTTTTTACTTTTATAAACAAGTGGACTTGCAGCAACAAAATCCACTATATGGGGTTGAGGATATGATTTTTCAGGAGAACATTCTTACTTCCTTCTTTTCTTGGGGCAGGGGGAAACTGCATTGAAATGGCTCTCTCTCTATATATTCCTCCTTCCTGCAGGAAAGAAGAGTTATATTGTCTTTTGACAATAAAACTGTTGGTCATTTTGGATTTTTTCAAACAAGCACCTTTTGCTCCAACATTTTTGGTAGCCTTTCAACAGAGATTTTAGAGACATAAAATCTTACCTCTCTTCTTGTCATTTGCTAATATCCTAAGTCTTTAACAATGGACCCATTGTTACATCCTATGATTTCTCTAAACTTATGGTAGCACAACAACATCTCAAAAAAAAGGGCTGTTTTTGTTCTCTCCACTAATCCTTCCAGAAAATTTATTGTTCTCTTTCTCACAACAGTTTAAGAGAATCATAAGGGAAATGGATCACTTTCCATTCAGGAAGCTGCCAAAATTGCTACACATTACTAAGGTGACCAACCGTCCTCCTTTAGGGAGGACAGTCCTCCTTTTGTAAGTTCTGTCCTCCCTCGAAAAGTGTCCTCCTTCATGTCCTCCTTTTCGATATTTGAAGACTAATCTGCAGGGCTTTTTTTTTTTTCCATAGAACACTCAGAATGGTGTTCCGGCACCTTTTTTTTGATGTTTTTTTTTCCAACTTTTGCATGAGCTGTGCTACTCCCACTATTGGCTTTTGAAAGCTAATAGGAATTGCTGCTGAGCACGCCAAAACACCCGGCTGGCAAACTTTGAACATGCAAGTTGTCTGTATTATTGTTGCAATGAATAAAATGTTTCTTTTATTTACAATATTTTTTTCTTCAATTTATTTGTGTCCTCCTTTTCATTGTAAAAAAGTTGGTCACCTTAACACAGTGGTTCTCAACCTTTTTAATGCCGCGACCCCCAACCGGTCGTAAGTTGAGGACTACTCAACTGGTGCAGCACCGTTTGCAGAATGGGACTTTTGGTGGGCTCAGCAGGGCAGAGACAGCCTGGACAATTCCTATTGGCTTTTGAAAGCCAATAGAATTAGAATCTATTCAAGAGAGTCTATTCTATTGGCTTTCAAAAGCCAATAGAATAAAAGGGAGTAGCACAGCTAAGGAAAAGGGGGGGAAAATGGCGGACTGCGTTGTTTGGTGACCCCCGTGAAATGGTCGTTCGACCCCAAATGGGGTCCCGACCCACAGGTTGAGAACCACTGCCTTAACATTACTTCAAAAAAAAAAATCCTATTTATGTTAAAGAAAATATATTTGCATTCCTTGAAGCTGATTGTGACCCAAGAATCTGTTAAGGGCTAAGCCACTCAGGATTGTTTGAACCACAAGATAGGTGGCAAATAAAATTGATAAATAAATAAAAAATAAAAAGTTATATTCTGGTCTCAGCAAGGAAACCAGGATGACTAGATAGCAATGGATAGTTTGCAACTCTTCAGTTCTAACTGAATTCTAATTCCTGCTCTGAATTCTTACTCTGCTCTGAGTAGCAATTTAATGGCTGGCTGATATTTGCTTAAAACAGGGGTTCCCAACCAGGGGTGCTCGCACCCCCTGGGGATGTGAGACAATATTCCAGGGGGTGCAAAAACTTGGATTTTCAAAATTATAGTGTATATACATAACTCGTTGCCGTTATTTCAAACTTTTGTAAGGGGTGCAAGAATATCTCAGAAGCGTTTTAGGGGTGCGGGGTATAGAAAACATTGGGAGCCGCTGGCTTAAAAGGATCCTTGAAGTTAGCTTTCAACTGTTACAAAATTAGCACCTTTGCCCAAATCAGGATTAGCCTTAATCAAAGGTTATCTACTTTGCAACTTACTCAGTCTTATACAGTCATTAGGCTTATCACAAATCCTATCCAAATCTGATCTCTTGAGAAATTCTTATCTCAGGGAGATATATAGCTTACCATAAAGAAAGCAGTAAATTTGACTCTTCCTCTTCATTTGTCCACAAAAATATTTCTGTCCACCACTGAATTTCATACAGCACTTGATTATGTTCATTCATTTTGGTTGCCTTGTGCTCCTTCCCCCCCCCCCCAATGTACTGGGGTTACAAATAATGGTTATCTTTGCAGATTTCTGTACCCACACCATAATCACAACAAGGATTTCATATCATTCAATTACAGTAGGGAGGAGACTTTTTAGACATGAGATTTTAACTTAATTGTAGGCAAAAAAGGAATAAAAGCTGTAAATTTGCTGACATTCTTGTATGTATTTCTCTGGCAACAAAGCAAACTTTTGATATCAAGAGGGCTGTAGGAGTAAGAGTGGTAACTGCTCTGGTAGCAGCTGCAAAATAAGCTTGTGCTCCCACAGTTGGTGATTCACCTCTTATGGAGTTAGCTGATTTTATATTCTTTTTTGAGTTAATTGATTCATGGTCTGAGCTATGGTAGTTGGTTCACTTTGACAGCTTTCTAATATTGATGCTTACAACTTAGTCAACAGTTAATAATAGTTCCCAGAAAGCTGGTAGCCATTATTCACATTCTAAAGTCATATTTGAGTAGTAGGGAAAGATAAGGACTATCAAAATGACAGGGTCATTAAGAAGACTTTGGCACAATTTCACAGAGATTTGACTCAGCATGACTTGGCTAGGCTCTAGGTTCATATTCAGCTTAATGCTCTCCAACATTTGGCAATGTTAGATAAGAATCTTTATTACATTGTAAACAGGAGTCACTAAAACAACTGGTTGTTTTCTATGAACATGAAAGTTTAATTCCGGCCTTTGTTTCTCCTGCCCTTGCACAGTTTATCAGACTATTCATCCTATGCTTCTTAGACTCAAAGCTGGGTGACTATGGATTGCTGACATAATTAACAACTTCTCTCTGAGGAATTCTGGATGTTGACACCTGCAGCTGGGTATCTCCAGCCAGCATCCAATGAAACATATATTTTACTCTTCACACGTGCAGGAGTATGAGCCACTAAAATGAGTTAAATGTTCCAAAAACTGCACTTAATGGCATAGGAAAGCACAGCTGGGCATTATCAAGAGCAATATGGAGAGCAACAACCCCTCACCAGTTGATGTCTCATTATAGGTAGTCCTCAACCTATGACCACCATTGAGCCCAACATTTCTGTTGCTAAGTGAGACATTTGTTAAATGAGTTTTGCCCCATTTTATGATCTTTCTTGCCAGTTGTTAAGTGAATCACTGCAGTTGATAAATTAGTAACATTGTGTTTAAATGAATTTGGCTTTCCCAATGACTTTGTTTGTCAGAATGTCACAAAAGGAGATCACATGACTCCAGGACACTGTAACCTCATAAATATGAATCAGTTGTTACACATCTGAATTTTGATCGTGTGACCATGGGGACGATGCAATGGTTGCAAATGTGAAAATTGGTCATAAGTTACTTTTTTTCAGTGCCGTTGTAACTTCAAATGGTCCCTAAACGAACTGTTCCAAGTTGAGGACTGTCTATACAGAGTATGTGAAGCAAAGTTCTTTGAGCAACTATTAAGCAGTCAGTTAAGTTAAATAACCAGGAAATGAGGACCACTCTTGTGGGATTAATTGCATAAATATGCCCATAGACATGCTCCCACAAAGTCCTTGAGATACCAAAATGGACTGCTCCAGACACGGAACACATTCATCAGCCATTTGGACAGGCTCTGATAAGAACAGGGGAAACAGGATACATGAATCATCACCCACCTGCATAGCCTTTCATCTGGAGAGTGTCTGTTATGTGATACATTGTAACCACCCCTACATACGTCTTTTGATTACGCTGTGTGATGTAAAAACTATAGTAGCAATAAAATAGGGTGTTGGAGTCAGCTCTGGGTTCCTATCCCGAGATACCTGCCTGCGTGTCTCATTCTCCATGGGAGACCACCACACACTCTGAGTGTACATAAATATATATGTATGCATAGATATAGCATTACTTCTTTTTGCAATTTGTGTTACAGAATTTTTAGCTCACCCAAACTTTACGGTATAATATAACAAGCCGTAACTACAGGGACATAAAAGCAGAATGAGAAGTACAAAAAATGAAAAGTTCTCACGCAGGAAATGTCCTCGGAAAAAGACTGGATCAAGATCAAAAAGACTGGATCAAAGACTGAAAAATGAAGGATCAAGTTGGGCGGACCTCTTCCGACACCCACCCAAGTCTTAAAGGAAGGTCAGCAATAACGGGAGGGGGTGGCATTTCCAAACTGCGCATGCGTATGGGGGAAAAAACCCCGAGGACGTCGCTCCCGTCTCTTCAGCGCAGAACGAGCGGAAGGGCAATTCCTTCCCCTGAGCACGTCATTTCCGGCGTGTGGGCGCGCGGCTTGATTCGCTCGGTTTGGCTGGGTCTGTTGGCTTCGCTGGCGCCGAGGCCGCCGCCGTTTGGGAAATGGCGGGTAAGGAGAGGACCCTCCGGGCACACAAACGGGGGCGGATTGGAGACCTCGGTCTCTGGTGTCCGCTCTGCGCACTCTCGGCGAGGGAGGTTTCTTAGTCAGAGTCTGGCAGGTGATGAGCGGGAAGCCCACCCTGTTTCCGACTCTTACCTACAGTCCCGGGAAGCTCAGTCTAATATATCCCTGCTGGGCGGGAAAAGTGTCTCCTGTATCTCGCTCTTTCTGCCGCGGAGAGGGGAAGGAGAACCGTCCCCCGCTGATGGAAATGGGCAATGCTTGACTTTCCCTCCAATTCGTGGCTGTTTCTCAACTCGCTTTGAAGATCGTTGACTGACGGATAGTTCACAGACGGCTCGGAGGAGAAAGGGGGTGCGCTAGTCCTTCAGGGTTCTTCCCCTGGAGTGGACCCGTGGGTAGGAGGAGAGGTTGATTGGTACGGTAGTATTTTCCCGCTAGAAGAGAATTAGGTCGCGTGGTTAATGGCAAAGCAGAGGTCCTCAAACTCTTCCGCTCATCGACCCCTTCATGAAGTTTCCGATTGTAGCGTCGACTTCCATGTATTGATTATGTGAAAATAATTTAACATATATCACTTGAATAGTTGTATGAATACTTACAACATCAACCCTTTGGATTGTTCCCTTGGGGATTGATGTTGACCACTTTGGAGAACCCTGGTGTAAACTACTAGATATTATAGCCCCTTACCTTTTAAGCTGTTGCAGAATAGTAGGTTTAGCCAATATGGGCAACCATGGTGTGACTATCATATCATTATCCTAAACAAAGAGGGTTCTCCAAGTAAATATCTGCACTAAATGTGAATATCATGTTTGAAAATATTGGAGCATATTACTCTACAACACAGCTTTTCCCAAACTGGTGCTCTCACAATCTGTTATGTCAGTTGACAGTCTGAATGTCATTAAATTGAGAGAAAAAACTAGTCAAAAACAAACATCCCAGTGCCTCTGTGTAATTTGGGAAACTACTGTTCCTCAAAACAGTAGTAATTCACCTGCTTATGTTCTTTGAAACTTATTATATTATGTTCCAGTATTAAGCATATGTTTTTGTCTCTTTTTGGAATGGAAAAGCTTATAGAATCTGTGATAATTCTAAGATACGGGCTTTTACATATCTATAGATAATTCGAGATTTTAGAGCAGAAAATTGTAGTCTTCCTTAGAATGTTGACCTCTTGAGTGTTGCAAAGTTCCTGCAGCCAGGAATTAATGAGTGATGAGAACATTGGGTTATATAACACTGAAACACTGATTTTGCACATCTGCCTTGTTTCTATCTTCATTCTTACAGGGAGGAAGAAAACGCTGAAAAAAATACTGATTAAAGCTAAAAATGTAACTTGCAGTGATGTGGATCTTTCCAGATATTTTGAGCTGTTGCAGCATCTTGTCAGCTAGTCTCTATACCTGCTAGTCAGAATGGGAGTTGTAGGCCAAAGCCTCTGAGAAATCCACGGTGCAGAAAGTTGCTCTGAAACACAAATAACTTCTGGCATAGGTGAAGTTATGGCAAATGTCACAAACCTGAATAAGGCTATACTCCAAAATTCTATGTGTTCACAAGGCTAAGTCCAATGTGTAGTGGTTTGTGTATCTTTGCTGTAAGTTTTCAAGCAGATACTAGATAGCCATATTTCTGGAATAGTTTAGTAAATTTCTGTTTGGACTAGAGAAATTTGGACTAGAGAGCCTTCAAGGTTTTGTCTAATTCATATATTCTATGATTTAATCACTTTTAAAAGTTTTAGGATGCCAGCCACTGTTGTAATAATTTGAACTAATATGTATAGGTTCTGAAGCAATTCATGCCTCTTTCATTCATTAATTGTGTGAAAGGATCTTTGCATAATTATCAGAAAATAGGATTACACTGCCATCCTTTTCTATCAGTCTTAGATGTAATATTAGTCTTCCTTTGAGTTCAGTATATTAGAGAAGTGTCTTTGCTAAATCTCAGAATAGCATCTGCTCATGTTGCATAGGAACAAGATAGCATACAACTAGAAGACATTATCACAGGTCTACGTGGTCATAGGTTGAGGGTCAGTATTGTGCGTCTATTTCTTAATTGCCACAAATGTTGTGTTCAAGCAGTTTTTCTTAAGCTATTTTGGAGGATCCCAAAAGTGACATGGATCTTTCCAGATGTTTGTTGGTATGGGTTATATTTATTGATATTTACCATATTAACTTAAAATTGACACATTCTTACAATATTTATTGTGTATCAAAATAACAGTATTAAACCAATTAACAAATACTTTCATAAAAACTATTCTAATAAATTAAAAATAGTAATGAGAAAAGTGCTATTGTTTTACATTTTTACATATGTAAAATAATATCTGACAAATAATTTTGAATTTGCAGAATCATGACATAATTTTGGGGGTACTCTCAGCGAGCCTAGGATCATACTCTTAAGAAACACTGCTTTAAGATGCAGTAGCTATTTTGTCAGTCCTTGAAAATAGATCATATTCTTTATTGCATAATATATTATGGTTGTGAATAACTAAATATCCAGAAAAAATACCAGGATGAGATTTGTTCAAATATATTTATGTCAATTTTCCAACCTAATATAGGATGAATTATAAATAAATCTGTTAGATGAGTATATAAATAGTTTAGTTTTCAGGTGCCTAAGTTACTTTATTCCACTGTGGAATAAAGCAGCAGTAGAACAGACTTGTGATTGTTGAGGTTGAAATTCTGAGTTAATTGGGCAAAATGAAGTGGTTTTCAGAGTCTAGGCACAGGATTTCTAATAACCAAGGAAGACGATGTACTGTACTAAAATCTTCTAATAATGGACTATGTTTTTCCCCTTGAGAAAGAAGACATTTCACTTCTGATCCAAGAAACTTAATCAGTTCTGGCTGGATGTGGGGGAAGGTGATGGAAGGATTAGTTCTGACAATAATTCCTTCCATTCTCCCCATCCCATCCCCTAACCATCCAGCCAGAACTGATGAAGCTTCTTGGATGAGAAGCGAAATATCGTCTTCTTCCTCAAGGGGAAAAAACAGTCCAGTTGCCTTTTGAAAAAGCATTTTTGAGACAGCCATGATCTGGATGACTGAGAATCTCAATAGACACTCTTAAAACAATACCCACTTTTGGAATGCAGTCTTTAATATGTTGTGTATAACCCTCAAGCCAATAGAAAGTGCATACATTCACAGCAAGAAATTGGATGCCTGAAAGAAAACAAGAATCCACTTGGTTAGGCATATTTTCTGGACCACACATTTTATTTCTGTTGGGCAAATGGCCTAATACAAACATGACATATAAATTACAAGATCATAGTGAAGAATTGTGTTTGTTAGACTATCTTTTGAGGTGCTTGTTTCCTTCCTTAATATCTTTGCTTTTATTTAAAATATATGTGAGCTAAAATATTTTGTTTAAATGCTTTTATATTGTGGCAAAAACTGATTTAAAATTCTTTTCCCTAGGTCTCTCTGCTATGGAAAAGAAATTGGCTGAGTTCAAGTGTAATACAAATGAAGCAATTCATCTAAAATTAGGTAAAATTTTAAAATATAGCTCTGATGTAACCCACTATTTCAGAAGTTTTGCTAAACAAAATGTATTTTTAAAGACTAGCAAAGTAACAGTAGCCTTTCATGTATATACTGGTATGGAAGAGCCGAGGTGGCACAGCAGTTAGAGTGCAGTACTGCAGGCCACTTTAGCTGACTGTGTTCAGCAGGTAGCAGTTCGAATCTCACCGGCTCAAGGTTGACTCAGCCTTCCATCCTTCCGAGGTAGGTAAAATGAGGACCCAGATTGTTGGGGGCAATGTAAATATATATATATACATTGCTTACTGGTGTACACCGCTTAGAAAGTGCTCGCACTTAAAGCGGTATATAAGTCTCATAAATAAATAAATAAATAAATGTGCATGCATCTTTATAGAATTAATGTAACAGTAGAATAATACGGTTCCTTTCACTTTTTAATGATTTGTAGCATATCTCTTGCTATGAGCTGAATATATTTAAATTGAAATTTATTTTGAGAGTATTGAACAGAAAGTAGGTATTTTCCATCAGATGGGTGTTAGAACTGGGCTTAAATATCACGTCAGCTCAAAATCATCTTCTGGAAAGTTGGTTAATTAGCAAAGGTAGAAATGTAAGATTTATTGCACAGTCTTCTGCTAACAACAGCCTCATTTTGGAATTGCTGATATTTTAAACATTTCCTTAGTCTTGTATAGGAAGTTCTCACTTATCAGTAGTATCAGGAACTCCATTGCTAAACTTCACAATCAGAATCCTGAGTGAATGTCACAAATGGTTATCATATTACTGTGGGACACAGTGAGCATAATAACTGTGAGCTTGTTGCTCAGTGCTGGAATATAAAGCTTATCATAAGTGCCCCTCGTTCAGCAGTGTCATAACTTCAAATGGTTACTGAACAAGTAGATGTTAAACAAGGACTACCTGTATTCAGTTGATTTGTGTACACATTTTTGCTTTTTGATATGGAAGTGGCAATGTGTGAAGAAGCCTTAGGAATTTAAGACTCTTTAAGTGATAAAACATAAAAGTACTGTGGAGAAAATAATGGAAAATAGATTCTCTTCCCTATCACTACATTCTGAATTAGAAATTGTACAGGATCTAATTATTTAATGAACTATATCTACAGTAGAGTCTTAAACTGGTTTTCTGTAACAAAGAAAACCTTGCTGTGACATGCATTAGAAACTGAAGAAAACATGAATTTATTAGGGCATGAGCAATTCTATGTTCCCAAAATGCATGGCTAAAGCAACATAGAAGGTTTTT